CTCATTATAGCAATTAGAGATGAGCTGGTTTCATGGATAGAACTAGCTACCACAGAGAATTGGATCAGCACACTTAGATTAGAGGGGCAAGAATTATGCATGATCTATGACCATACTTAGCACAGCGAGGACCATATATAATGGAAGCAAAGACTTTAGTATAAATTGAATAATGAAGACTAAATTTTCAATTACTAAGCTAATATATTCTGACTTCTTAATGTACTTTAGTTTTTGAAAATACATACCTATCACCTTTCCTTCAAGATTTTGGCACAATTTTCTTTTGGGGGAATTGTCCTCACTATACTGTCTGTTTTAATTTCTATAATTTTTTTTGTGAAAGTCATAGTCACCATTTTTGTTGACAAAACATAAAATATTCATCTTTTAATCTCTTTGTCTGAATGTGTATGTACACATGTGCATGTGTATGTATGTGTGTCCTTGTATGTTTGTATCATAGGGTTACTTTGCAGGTTGGTGTTTACCTTCCACCTTGTTTCAAAGAGTGGTCATTGTTCATTGGTATGGAAACCAGGCTAGCTATCCAGTCATTTTCCGGAGATTCTCCTGTCCACCTCCCATATGGCTGTACGAACACTGGGATTATACATGCATGCTTGGCTATTGTTCATTGGTATGGAAGCCAGGCTAGCTATCCAGTCATATTCCGGAGATTCTCCTGTCCACCTCCCATATGGCTGTACGAACACTGGGATTATACATGCATGCTTGGCTACCACGTCTGGCTTTAATTAGGTTCTGAGGATCTGAACTTAGGTCTTTACTCTTCTTTGGCAAATGCTTTACCAATGGGGCCATCTTCTGAGTTCCCAAACAAACAATCTTAAATGACTTTAAGAAGTATCTTCCTTCTCCCAGTATTCTCCATCTATACTTTCATCGCACCTAGAATCTACTATCCCTTCTTCCTCAATGCTTTCTTCCCATCATTGACTCTTTTCCTTACTTCCATATAATACTCTAGGCCAAACACAAGATACAAAATTAGAAGCCAGAGCCCACATGTGAGAGAGAACATGTGACATTTATCTTTTGGGCTTGAGTATCTTAAGTATATTTTCCAGTTCCATCCATTTACTTGCAAATTTTATGATTTCACATTTCTTTATAGTTGAGTAGTATTCCATCATGTATATGTATCACATTTTTATTATCCGTTCATCTGTTGGAAGACATCTAGTTGATTCTATTTCCTAGCTATTGTGAATAGATCAGAAATGAAAATGAATGTGCAAATATCTATGTAGAAAGATATATGCTCAGGACCGGTATAGCTAGGTCATGTGGCAATTCTATTTCCAGATTTTTGCGAAACCTCCAGACCTATTTCCAATGTTGGTGCACTAGATTACACTCCCACCAACAGTGTATAAGACTTTCACATTTAGTACATCAAAGTCAATATTTGTTGTCATTTGTGCCCCTGATGATTGCCATTGATTGGGATGAGATGAAATTTTATAGTAGTTTTATTTCATGTTTCCATCATATCTAAGGATATTGAATTCTTTTTAAAGAGTAATTTGTATTTCTTACTTTGAGAACTTTATATTCCAATTTATAGCTCATTTTTTTATTTTTAAAACAATTTTATTTTACATATCAATTCCAGTTCCCTTTTTCTCCCCTACTCTCCCACCTTCCTCCCACCCCACCCATCCACTCCTCAGAGAGGGTAAGGCTTCCCATGGGGAGTCAACAAGGTCTGTTATATCACTTGAGGCAGGACCAAGGCCCTTCCCCATGTATACAGGCTGAGCAAGGAATCCATTCACAGGGAATGGGCTCCAAAAAGTCAGATCATGCAATAGGGGTAATTACTGTGACCCCACAAACTGCTCAAGCCACACAACTGTCACCCACATTCAGAGTGCCTAGTTTGTTCCTAGTTAGGTCCCCACACTGTTAGTTCAGAGTTAGTGAGATCTCACTAGCTAAGACTAGCTGTTTCTGTGGGTATCCCCATCATGGTATTGGCCTCTTTTCTCATATTATTGCTCTTCCCTCTCTTTGATAGGACCCTGGGAGCTCAACCCAGTGCTTAGCTATAAATCTCTGTATCTTCTACCATCAGTTCCTAGATGAAAGTTCTATGATGACAATTAAGGTAGTCATCAATCTCATAGAGGGGAAGGCCAGTTCAAACACCCTCTCCACCACTGCTTAGGGTCTTAATAAGGTTATCCTTGTAAATTCCTGGGACGTTTCCTAGTACCAGACTTCTAACTAGCTTCATAATAACTCCCTCAATCAAGATATCTCTTTCCTTGCTCTCCCTCTGTCTTTAACCATCTTGATCATCCTGTTCCCACATGCTCTCCTCCTTCTCCCCTCTGCACTCATACTCCCCTTCCACCCTCCTCTCCCCTCCATGCTCCCAATTTACTCAGGAGATCTTGTCTATTTCCTACTGGGAACCATGTATGCTCCTCTTAAGGTCTCCACTTTCTGGCTTCTCTTGGGTTGTCGACTATAGGTTGGTTATCCATTGCTTTATGTCTAGTAACCACTTATGAGAGAGTACATACCATTTTTGTATTTCTGTGTCTGGGTTACCTCAGTCAAGATCATATTTTTAGTTCCATCCATTTGCATGTAAATATCAAAATGTCATTTTTTTTTAACCACCGAATAGTACTCCATGTGTAATACCACATTTTCTTTATTCATTCTTCAGTTGAGGGGCATCTAGGTTGTTTCCAGGTTCTGGCTATTACAAATAATGCTGCTATGAACACAGTTGAGCAAATGTCCTTGTGGTATGAGGGCGCATCTTTTGGGTATATGCCCAAGAGTGATATTACTAGTTCTTGAGATAGATTGATTCCCAATTCTCTGAGAAACTTCATTCTGATTTTCAAGGAGCCTGTACAAATTTGCCCTCCTACCAGGAATGAAGAAGTGTTCGCCCTTACTCCACATCCTCTTCAGCATAAGCTTTCATTAGTGTTTTTGATTTTAGCCATTCTGACAGCTCATTTTTAATTGAGTTGTTTTGTTGATGTTTAGTTTTAAATTTTTCTTTGTATATTCTAAACACTATCTTCTATCAGATGTACAGGTGATTAAACTTTTCTCCTATTCTCTTGACTGCCTCTTTATTTGTTTGTCAATCTCCTTAGCTGAATAGCAGATTTTTAGCTTTACGAGTTCTCATTTGTTGATGGTTGGTTTTATCCTCTCTGCTGTCAGAGTCCTACTAAGGCCCTTACCTGTGCTTGTCAGTTGAAGTGTTCTCTGGATGTTTTCCTCTATCAGTTTAGGGTGTCATATATTATGTTCAGGCTCATGATCCATTTGCAGTTGAGTTTTCTTTTCTTTTTTTTTTCAGGGTCAGAGGTAAAGATCTAGTTTCATCCTTCGCATATTGGAAAGCACATTTCCCAGCACCATTTGTTGAAGATGCTGTCTTGTCATTGTACATTTTTGGGGATCTTTGTTAAAGATTGTGTAGTTATAGTTGCATGATTTATATCTGTATTTTCTACTCTATTCTATAGATCAGTGTGCATATTTTTGTGACAGTAAAATGCCATTTTTTTTCTATTACTATAACTCTAAAAGAGCTGGAGGAAAAATATTGGGAGCTAAAGGTTTAAGTGGGGATGGGGCAGGCAGTGGGGAAATGAAGAATAAGAATGAGTTAAAATAAACTAAGAATGTAAGATACCTTACGAAAAATTTGTAAGCTATTTAAAGAATAGCCAAAAAACACATGGCAAGGGAAGCCATAGGCCCTAGGGGGAAAGCCTATTGATGTTATTTTTATAAATGGTCATGCTGTCAAATTCTCTTCTAAATATCTATTATTATATCCATAGATTTGTGCTGCTCTTAGCCTTGGTCAGGAAAGCTCCTTATTACAGTGGGTACTGCTTAATGCAGAGTCATAATTTCAAAATGCTGAGGAAAAGCAAGCGTGAGTGCTCAGTCACAGAGGGAACATTCACATCACCCACCTCCCAGCTCAGGGCACAGGGTACATTGCAGGAGAGGAGGGTGAAGAGAATGAAGAAGTGGAGAAGAGTGTGAAAAAAGACTGGCTTTTGACATGACATGGCTATTATATACACACACTCACAGCAGCTGTATTGCCCACACAAGACCTACACAAGATCAAGAGAGTTAAAGAAGTCCAGCATGGAAGGCTCCTGATGCCTCACCTCTAGATGATGAGCTAATGACAGTTTTTATCTCCTTGTAATGGGAGAATTACTTTTCATTGATGGGGGTGCATGTGGTCATATGTGGTTGCCAATGTCCCAGTGGGTGGGTGACCTCATTCACAAACTTGTATGGGTAGCTCTCGTGGACTTAGAAGGTTTTTAAAAAGAATATTAAGATAGAAGGGAGATGTAAATATGTTAAGGAAAGGAGATTGGGGAAGCCTGGATGGAGGGAATGGGAGATAGACATGCCCAAGAAACACTGTATATAAGTATGAAAATTTCAACAAATACATTCCTTACTCCATCTTCAAACTTTGAAAGTGCTTTTTTTTTTTCTCTAAAAATCATGCCCATTATCTCCAGTATATTACACATTCATTTGAAAATGGCTGGGATCAGCTTTGAATTCTGTAGAAACAAAAGTAAGATTTTTAAAAAGAAGATATTGAGGTAAGATGTGAACATCCCACTGCAGAAGAGATTTCCCCACATTGGAATTATAAGGTTCTTTAACACAATGAAGATACAAGAATCCTGTCTTTTCAGAATAGGTCCCCTGAGAAACCTGTCCACACTTCTACATATGGCAATTTGACTATTTTGTTCTTTGACCTGTAAATAACACAGTTCAGGAGAGGAATGTTGAATATGTGGGTGACTTGGAGAGGGAGGTCTTGTTCTACAGAATTTTATGACTTAGGGTTGAGGTAGGCAATAGAAGCTTAGCCATAACTGCCAATGCTCAGAGTAAATGGAGGGGTACCAGTGACAAAGGCCTTTATTCAGATATTAGCTGGACAGTCTTGGAGACAGTGGAAAGGAAGAGGACATAGGAGATGATGTTCTGATTCATAGGGATTACATCATAAAAAAAACTAACAGCAAAAACATTTTCCTACCCACAGTAGTATCGACTCAGGAGAGTTTAATGACAGGGAAGATGTCACAGAAGAAATTATCAAGCACCTTATGATGAAATTTGAGGTAAATGTGGGTATCACCTGGATAGTTACCATGATCAGAATCATTGCAAACTCCATTTTTAAGTGGGACACACTCTTCTTCATGATGACTGTTTCTCATGGGGTTGCAGGTAACTGCATAGTAGTCGTTAACTTCCCTGTGAACAAGAAGTAGTTGGTGGAGGCTAAAGTAACAAAGAAAAGTTCTTGTGTAGTTGAACCTCTGAGGCTCTGGGCGACAAGGCTGGAGAGCAGCCATGGAAGAACCTATCTCTGACCAAGCTAGCATGCTCACAAGTACATGGAGATATGGGAGTGATTGTCAGGATCAAAGTTGTCACAATGATAGCATAGTACTATTATGGGGTATCAATTGTATGAATGTGAAAACACACCAAGAGGGTGAACTGGTATCCATGGAGTCAGAAAAGTTCCAGCAAAACAATATAAAAACCTCTGTCACCTCCGCCAGGTTGTGAGGTCTGTCTATCCTTCTTCAGCTGCTGTGTCTGAAAGCAATGCATGATGTCAAGACAAAAAAATTTTCATCATGACATGGATTCTAGGATAGAGTTGGAAAAATGGGAAGAGAGGGAGGTGAGTGGGAAGAAGAGGAGGAAGTTCAGGACAAGGTAAAGAAAAGAAAAAGGGAAGGAACAAGAGAAGAGGAAGAAAGCAGATGGTTGTCTACGGTTTTTATCAGGAGCCTCTTGGTTCATATAATCACATATGCCCTCCCTACCGTTGGGCTTGTTTTCTCCTTAATCTTCCATTTAATGCCAGGTCCCCAAAGCACCACAGTGTGAGACTGTTGCATATTTATTCTGAGGGACATCCTGTTATATACTGTTGTGCCATGCATGGGTGGACAGCCTTTTATTTTCCTGCATGAGAGTCTTGTCTCATATCACCACAGATTTGCCCTAATTCTGTCCTAGGGAAAAAAATGAACAGCCAAGACAACACCACCAGGCTGAGTTAGACTCATGGGTAGATAGCTTTGCTTAAGAGAAACTTGTAGTGATGCTGTACTGAGGAAAGAATTAATCTGAAGGAGAGCTGACCTTCAGGGACACAGTAGGAGTGAAGATGTGGTATTTATTCTTCCAGCCAGAATGGTTTAGGTGAGACGAATCACAGCAAATATCACTCTATTGTAAAAGTGTCTGCGGGGACTTGAGGGTTTGGGGCAGGTACCTAGAGGGAGGCGGAAAGCTGCTGGGAAGAAGTGGGCAGTCTTGCAATAGCAGCAGGCTATTAGACCTCCAGTATAGCCAGGGGTAGTAGGCGCACCAACGTTTCTTTTGAGAGAAGGAAGTTCAAGAATAAAGAGATATAGTTTGATTTTAGGTTACTAAATAATCTCCCCCCAGGGCCTGAAGGCTTCATTTAATGCCGGTGTGAGAATGGCCTTCGGTTTGAGCCATTTGGGAAGTGGAGAGAATTGGATGATGGTTTGGTATGAGAAAAAGCCTCACATGGTGGGGAGTGAAATCTAGGATAAGGTAGGAACGAAGCCCAAAGCCTTCCGTTGTCCTGCCTTCTCTCTTGCATCACACACAGTATTTTGTAGAGATTAGGTGAGGGACTCTGAGATCGCCATCATATATCAAGCAGTGGCTTCAGATCATTTTACTTACAAAAGCAAGAAAACATCAACTGTCACCGTATTTAGGCAACTGCCCCTAGGAATTGAGGAAGTGATCTAGATTTCAGGGAGTCTGAGAAACACAATCTGGAAATCCCTGTGCTTTAAAAAATACGCCATCTTTGAAAATAAGGAGCCAGACCTCAGACAGAAGTGAACATGATGCAAATGAATTGGTTTACACTGAAGATCACTGTGATGATAACTTCCTCCTAAGCAGTTTACAGCCACGATACTCTCCCCAAGAAGAGGTCCAGCACATGTTTTTCTTTATTTTGTTCTATATTTGGGGTACTTTAGAGTCCTCCATACAGTAAGTGTCTCACTTTTAACCTGTTTCGTGTGAAGTGCTCAATTAAAAACAAACACGAAAGGGACTCAGCTCAGATGGGAAACACAGAGGACTTCCTACTGTCCTGGAAGTGAGTTGGGTGATGGTGAAGAGATGGGGAGCGTGGGATGTGGGGCTAAACCACCCAGTTCTCTCTGGTCCTCTTAGAGGCCTATAAAGAAGAAACAAGGAAGCAAGAAGCACCAGAGTTTGCCTTGGGAAAGGAGGTCAGGAAGGGCTCAGAGTTAATGACAGGTTAGCTACATCCTGAAGGTAGGCTGAACTCCATCTCAGTGGTTGGAATGCCTGTCATTGAACATAATGACTATGTTCACAGGGGCCTTCCCACCCCCATTGACTGCTATTGGAGTTCACCCAGCCAGAAGTGAGTGCAACTGAGCACAGTAGCTACAGCCCTTCTACCACCCAAGAATGGGCCCTGTCTGTGGCTGAGCCTGGGGGTGTTTCTGTGTAAGAAGCACCCCAGCAGATAATCTCAAAAGCACAGTGTAGCACAGAAAGGAGCTTTCAAAATGATTTATACATTCCAGAAGGATAAAAACCCTGTGGGAGAGTGAGAACACTGAAATGTGCTCATGCATCAAAATCGTAGTCATGAAGCCAATGTTCCTTCCAGAGATGGAATGGAGCAAGAGAAAGCAGAGGGGTAGCGTAAGGGGAGGCCAAAAGGAAATACCACTGGAAAAGGGAAGAAATTCTTACAGATGCTATAGACCTTCCAAAACATGGCAATCATTATAAACCAAATAGGTTCCCAGAAACAGAATCTGATTTTTTTAAAAATTAAAACATTCAAGGTAGATTAAGTTTTTGTAATTGAGTTTTGTGTGTGAAAGAATAGTAAAATTAAAATAAAAAGTAGCAATGTTCACCTGTTTTCCTCTTTCCTGTTTTCCTGCCCTCTCCTTTTTAAGTAATATAGGTCTAAGGAGCCAGGATTGACTTCACAAGAAGGGGATGATGACATGAAGTATTGGGATGCATGAGGGAGGGGTGGCTTTGGCTTGGTACAGAAGCCTCCCTAGATCCGGAAGCCTGGGCTCAGCTTTAGTATATGGAATATGTCTGTGCTCTTTTCTGGTTCTGGAGAATATTAAACAATTATGATTTATTTCAAAGATTGCTGCAATGCCAGGGAATCTGATTGTCATTTTTTTTTAAAAAAATTAAAACAAGCCACAGCATTCTGGTACATTCTGGACCAGCCTTGTTAGACACCAGGCCAGCCTGATGATGTAGGCTACTTACATCACCATCCATTGTTGGTAAAGGCATATGTGAGCGGTTATAAACAGCCATAGTACTCAAAAGGTGACAATCACCGAGTCAGGTGCCAACCACACCTGGCTACCTTTAGGAGAGTCCCCCTGTAACCTCTGTGATTAGTAAAAGCCTCCCATGAGGACCACTTCTCATATCTAGATCCTCTCTTCTGAGTTCATTTTCCAAGGTATTTACCACACTTAGATCTGCAGAGTCAGAATGAAGAAAAGAGCCTGGGAGATCCTCACAAGTCGATCACACAAGGAAACTGGGCTGACTGTGTTCTTACGGGGCCTGCTGCTTAAATGTTCTTCTGGTGAAAAGTAGCTTGGCTCATTTGAAGAAGTGAAATTCCTTGGGTGCAATTCTTCCCTCTCTTGAGTGTTTACTAGCATTTTGTCTTCTGGTAATTTTCAGTGAAAATTCCCTTTGGTAAAGTCCAATATGGTGTTCCACTGTCTATGTCACAAGAGCTTCCCTTATTTCTCACACTAGAAGGGGCAAGTATTGGCTTGCTTGGAAAAGAATTAGGTTTGATGAATGAGACTAACAATGGGGTGCGAATAATTTTTCCCCTCCCCCCTTTTTTTTGTTTTATAGAACTACATACAAAGAAGTTAAAACAAGGGACTCTATGTTCCGGGGAGATATTCTTCTCCTCATCATCACAGAAACACTGGGCACACATGCCGTGCCACAGGATGTACCCAGGAAGTCCTTCATGCATCTTCACACCTAGTCCCTGCAAGACTTCTATGAGGTAACTTTCGACAAGCCCTGCAGCTTCTAGAGAACTGAGCATCTGACTTTGGCTCACATTCTGATGAAGGTGTGACTGTGGCCTTGGTATTGTTAACGTGAGGTTTATTTTCCTTTCGGATCCTGTGGCTGTGTACAACTGCCCACATAAACCTTGAGCACTTCTGTGTGGGGCTGTCACTCATGCTGATCTTAGAAAGGAATGGCCATAGACAAAAACTAAAAAGAAACCCTGGAATGCAAGCCCATTTGTTTTCTTATTCATTTATTTTTACTTTTAAATATTTCTATGTATAAGTGGGTGAATATGTATACATGTGTTTGCATGTATATGTGAGTGCATGCATGCATGCGTGTGTGTGTGTATGTGTGTGTGTGGTGTGTGTGTGTGTGTGTGTGTGTGTGTGTGTGTATGCATATGGAGGCCAGAAACTGATTGATAGTGGATTTCTTCTTCAATTGCCCTCTATCCTACATTTTGAGATATGGAATCCGGAGCTCGGTGGTTTGCCCCAACTGTCTGGCCATACAGCTCCAGGGATCTGTTTCTATCTTCTCAATGTTCTTTGGCATTACAATCACACACTTTCCTGCTTAGCTTATATGTGGGTGCTGGGGATCCAAACTCAACTCTCAAAGTTTGAGCAGCAAGTACTTTACCAACTGAGTCATCTTCTCAGCTCCTGACATACAATTTTAGGTTACTGTATAAATTTGTCATGCATTTAGTCATGTCCTGGTAAAGACTTAAGGTGGTTATCTATTAATCTTCCTATATTGTTCTTTGAATGGTCTTATACGTGTATTCTCTCTAGACAACACAAAGTTTAACTAATACTTTAAAAAAAAATCTTCTGCGTTCTCCAAATTTGACTGCACTTGACTTTCTCTAATGCTCACAAAATACCCTTTCATCTCAGTTCCAGCTAAGTCTGAGCTAAGGCACATCTCAAGTCAAAAGGACCTTATTGCTTTTCCTCGGACATTCCTACATAGTTTCCCTTTGACACCACAGAGCACTAAATGCAACTCTTTTCTCTGGAAATTCATCATGGACTACTCTGGTAAAAAGTCAGTCATGAGAGCCTTAAAGGTTTTCACAGTTAAGACTCCCTTTCAGGGTTCAGTTAAAGATGTCACTGATAGCTGGGGGGGGGGGCTAGAAATCTGAGGGTAAAGATTTGAGGGCTAAGAAATCTACTCACAACAACAGTCATCTGTCCATGTTTCTTTAGTCTTCTCTCTTCAATCCATCATTTCTCATTGTTCCACCCTTTACTTGTTCTACATTGTTCTTTGTTCTACATTGTTCCTTAATTCTGCATTGTTTCTCCGTGTCCTTAGTTCTACCTGTTACCAATGTTCCAAGTCATAAATACCCTTAAAACCAGTAATTCCCCAGCCCTAGCAGCTTCCAGGGCTTGAATTCTTTTGCCCCATAGAAAGTTTTCACACACACACACACACACACACACACACACACACACAGAGAGAGAGAGAGAGAGAGAGGGGGAGAGAGGGAGAGGGGGAGAGAGTGGGAGGGGGGGGGAGAGAGAGAGAGAGAGAGAGAGAGAGAGAGAGAGAGAGAGAGAGAGAGAGAGAGAAGGGGGAGAGATCCATGGGAGTGGATAGTACACATCCAGTGAATTCCTTAATGGAGAAAGTTAGTTAAGAAAAAAAAATAAATCATCAGGGAATTTTAGAAAGGAAGATTAGTGTGCTACACTTCATTTTTAGGTAGTTAGTAAAGAGCTAAGGAGTTTATTTCCAGTAAAATTATGACTAGGGCACAGACTGTTTAAATCAGCGCGCTAAGCGCGCTACTTCTTTTCTCCCAGTATGCATAGAGGCTGCGAGGTAACTAGGCAACCTAGGGAAGGCTGATGGCTCTTAATCAGATAGTACATACACTGGACACTGTAGTTAGACCTACTGCTCAAAATGAAGAAGAGATCCAGGCCTCTAAATTATCAGTTCCGGACTATACTCTTATCAGCCATTCTGATCGTGGGTCTTGTGGGGTAAAACCAGAGCAGCAGCTTGGGCAGGTAGTAATTCTATGTCCTTGGAGATCTGGGAATATCTTAGATGGGATGCTCTTTGCCTGGACCCTAAAATCTGACCAAATGCCTGCTGATAAAGATAATTGCAGGAAGGCAGGTCTCTGCGCTTACCTAGGAGAAAGGAACAAGGACTGGCCAAGTGGGAAATTGTTCTCACTAAACAGTTCTGAATTGTGGGAATTAATCCCCAAACAGAAGGGAGTTAGCTACAGCGAAAAATCTACAGCATAGGACAGCAACTTTATTTACAAAACAATAACGCCCAAAGCCTTGCCTTTTGGTTTAGCCTTTTCCAGATCCCTTGGTTCTGATAAGTTGCTTGTGAAAAGATGGCTGAGCAATTACTATATAATGTTGTGGCTTGCAGCAAGTCAGTCCTGGACTTATCCTGGGTACATGAGCTGGCTTTTTGGAGTTCATTCTCTATGGAGGGATACCTTGCTCAGCTTCGTTATGGGGGGGAGGGTCTTGGTCCTGCATCAACCTGCATGCCAGACTTTGTTGACTCTCCACGGGAGGACGTATCCTCTCTGAGGAGTAGATGGGGGATGGGATGGAGAATGGTTAGGGAAGCGAGAGCAGGGGAGGGAAGGGGAACTGTGGTTGATATGCAAAATGAATTAAAAAATAAAAAAGAAAGGGGGGAAAAAGTCAGCCCTGGAACCTGGAAAGCACGTCCGTCTACTCTTCTGTAGCCACACACATAAGAATCAGATCCCTACTTGTACCACGAGGAGACTCAAAAGTTTTATCAAGATGATTACTAGGCCCCTCATTGCAAAACTATTACTTTGATTGAGGGAACCATTATGGGGCTAGCAAGAAACCTGACACTAGAGAAATTCCCAGGGATCTACAAGGAAGACCCCAGCTAAGACCCTAAGCAACAGAGGAGAGTGTGCCTTAACTGGCTTTGTCTTGTAGTCATATTGATGAATATCTTATATGTCACCATAGAACCTTCTTCCAGCAACTGGTGGAAACAGAGGCAGAGACCCACAGTGGAGCACTGGGCTGAGCTCCCAAAATCCAGTTGAAGAGTGGGAGGAATGAGAACATGAGCAAAGAGGTCAAGATCATAATGGGTTCACGGACTTAAACAGTCTACCTGAGCTAATGGGAGCTTACCAGATCCAGCAGGACAGGGAAGGAACCAGCACAGGATCAAACTAGTCCCTTTGAATGTGGGTGAGAGTTGCATGGCTGGGGCAGACTGCGGGGCTGCTGGCACTGGTACCAGAATTGATCCCTTCTGCTTGTACTGGCCTTTGGGGAACACATTCTCTTTGGATGGATACCTTGCTCAGCCTAGATATAGTAGGGACGGCCTTGGACCTTCCCCAAAGCAATGTGCCTTACCCTCTCTGAGGAGTGGATGGGGAGGTGTGATGGGGGAAGGAAGTGGCAGGAATGGGATGAGGGGAAGGGAATGGGAACAAGGATTGGTATGTAAAATGAAAACAGATAGTTTTTTTATATATAAAAAAGGCAAAAGCCACTACACTAAAGAACAAACAAACAAACTATGTATCTCTTGTTTCCTAAGTCCCACAGCTTTAATGACAAACATGGACATGGGTAAATTATCAAGACAATTTTGGAATGAGTAGGCAATCACTTGCCTGGAATATTGTTATCCTCAAATATTTCTATATTCCTTATAGGTTCCAAATCACTCAAGCCATCTCCTCTGTGACTTTCTGCTGTTTCTACTATACTTGAGAAAAGTGCTCAAAAATCAATTTTCAGGAATTCTAGTCCTATATTAAATAAAACGCTTAAATGCAACTGTCCTTTCTTTTGTTTTGAAAACTACTTTTTGAGATTAATATAATAATAACATATTTTCTCTTCCCTTTCCTACCCCAAAACCCTCCCATATATTTCTTCTTGCTTTTTTTTTCAAATTCATGTTCTCGTTTTTCATTAGTTGTTCTTACATACAACATACATACTCCTAAATACATAAATTCAATATGCTCAATTTGTATGTATGTTTTCAGTACTATTTGGTATCGGACAACTAATTGGTGTGTTCTTCCCTGTGGAAGACTTTTTATTTCACTCTCAGTATTAGTAGCCTGTAGTTCTTTTTTTTTAAATTGATTTTATTGAGCTATACATTTTTCTTTGCTCCCCTTCCTTCTCCTCCCCTCCCCCCAACCCTTTCCCATGGTCCCCATGGGTTGAGGCGTCATGAGCTGTCCTGCTTCTACACTGACATGCCTATTGAAGCCATTTTTGTTCAGGTCATGTTTAGGCAGCCAGGTTGAGTCTTCCTGGTTGTTCTTCTGACACTCCTAGGCGATACAATATCGCAGCATATTTTCTGTTTCTCTGGTTCTTAGAATCGTTCTGCCTACTTTTCTACCATGATTCAAGAGCTTAGGTGTGGGTCTTGTAGATGTTGCTCTTGGGACTGGGTCCACAACTCAGCATTTTGCCTGGATGTGGTTTTCTGTAATGGCCTCCATCTGTTGCAAAACAACAGAAGTTTTCTTGATGTGGAGGAAGAGCTGCAGTTATCTGTGAGGTATAAAGACAAACCTTTAGACTGTAGTTAGGGGTTGTGCTGGTTTAATAAAGTCCTTCTCCTTCATTAGCCCTAAGTAGTTTGCTAGATATCTAGTGCCAGACCTTAGTTCCTTCTTGTTGAAAGTGGGTATTAAGTCCAACCAGTGAACTGTTAGTTACTTCCAAGTTATGCATGCCATAATTGCACTCATAGGGTTATTGTGCCATTCTGGTTATTATGATTCATAGTTGGGTAGGACTGTTGGTAGCTTCCCAGTCTTGAAAGCTTGCATGAAGTGTTCTGATACCATAAAAACTAGTTCTCAGAAAAGAGACATTCAGCTCATTTCTAGCTCAGGAGCCCCTGGGTCCTCTGTCTGAAGTGCATGATGTCAACATTAGGGACTCCTGAGGGATAACCAAAGGCAAGAGCAGCAGCTTTGTAATGTTTTAATAGTTTCTTAGACAACCCTGACAAACAACTAAAAAGAAGACTTCTTGTGCTTAGTGTTTGGGTTTTTGTTAGATGTTTTTTGGCCCTTGGAGGTAGAAATTTTCTTTAGATTTAATTAATAATTAATATTTTAGATTAAATAATAAAAGTATAATAATAACATATACAATTCCACATATAAACATTGACAAAGGAGATGATTGAGAATCTGTGATTTCTGTGTTCCTCAGCCAGAACAAGGCATGACAGAATATAGGGAGTGGAAAGAACTTGTTTAAAGAAAGGTGCTGTTTTGAGTTGTTGCTTGATGGAGTTGTGGGTCATATACCTGGTTTCTTGAGAATATGGTTTCTGGTATTTCAGCTTCTTTCAGTTTCAGCTTAGTGAGAGGGTTCCCATGGAAACGCAAAGCTGCAGCATGCTCCTTGCTATTCGAAGACTCACAGAACTTGAGAAGGCCAGGACCATTGTAGAAACAGAAAAACTATCGTCTGCATTAAGATAATCATGGACTCCTAGAATTTACAGGACTAAAGGATGCATGAGTGTTTCTTTTGGATGAAATATGGTCAACATAACAGAAAGAGCTGATATATAGTCATCTTGGAGTCTACAACAAAAAGAGCCATTCTAAGAGGGGTTTTAAGTTTAAGAAATTGTGTCCAAACTGGTTTCTAACAGACATAAACACAGATACAAAATGATGGATGAGAATAAATGATACCCCTAGCTCAGGTGGAGCTGAGAAGGGAATAGGACCACATCAATCTGAAGAGGAGCCTGAAGATATAAAGGATGGATTGTAGACAGGTTGATTATTGTTAGAAAGGACTCTTACTTAGAAAACACAGGTATATTAGATTATAAACTCCCAAAAAAGGCTAATACCATGCTTACTTCTCCAGTATAACATTTTCAGGCACCATGCCTGGAATGGAATAGTGGCTCAATAAATATTGAAAAAAAATGGAGGCTACAATATGAGTGTACTGGATTCATTTCTGAAAGTTTGTTTTATGTTGCTTGCAGAGGGGATGCTAAGCAAAAATGGCCTAATACGGAGATGCAATGTTAAGGCAAACAATGTATTTGCATGCTCTTGGTAGAAATACCAATTGCTCAAGAATAGGGAGTTATTTTTAGTAAATGTTTATGGGAAGACTTCTCTTTGTGTATCTATGTGTGTATAGAGTATACAGTATAGAATGTGTACACTTGGGTGTGTAGGTACATGAGGAGAAAAAAAAAAGAGTCCTGTTCCATCATTCTCTTTGAGACAGGATTTTCTACTGAACCTAGAACTCAACATTTTCTTTAAAGATGAACTCTCTGACTAGTGGGTTCCAGTGATCATCTTTCTCCACCTCCCAGGTCCAGTACAGGGTTGGCAGGTCTATTTGGCAACGTCTGACTTTTGATGTGGGTGCCGTGGATCTGAACTCATGTCCTCACGTTTGGTCAGGCAGTACACTTATCTGTGGAACCACCGCTGAATCCCTTGAAAGGTTTCTTAATGTTAAGAAACCATGAAGTAAATCTGAACTTATAATATGGATGGTGAATTCAGTCATCACAGAAACTTCCTCTTGTGGTAGATAGGAAATAGGACAGACACCCACCTAAGCAATGTACAGAGAGTGAGAGACCTTGAAACACTCAGTCATTAATGGGATGTTTTCTTCAAATTCCTCACCTCAGGGCCTCAGGAACTATTAGAAAAGAGGAGAGGGCTGGAGAGATGGATCAAAAAATGAGAAAAGATGTTTAAAATGTCTAAAAATATAAATTAAAGAAAGAAGAGGAGCAGGAAACATAGAAGAACCAGTGGGGATGGAGGACACTAAGAAAACAAGGCCTTTCATGTCAACCAGGACTGATGAACATACGAACTCACAGAGAATGTGATAGATGCACAGGGCCAGCACCGTTTCAAGCCAGAAGTGGTCCAAGAATGGAGAGGAGGAAGCAGACATGAGTTTTCATTCCTAACTAAGACACTATCGCTAACTAACAACTTCTCACAAAGGAAAAATCATTTTTTCCCACTAGGTGTGTACATGACACTTACAAGGCCCCATGCCCAGCAGTATAGACCAATATAAAATGAACTCAATGGTGTAAGCAGAGACTGTTTGTTCATTTCCCAGACACCCAGAACCAAACAATAACACAGAAACTATATTAATTACAACACTGTTTGGCAAATAGTTTTTAGGCATATTTTTAGTTAACTCTTACATATTAAATTAACCTATAATTTTTGTCTGTGTTAGCCACATGACTTGGTACCTTTTATCAGTGAGGCATTCTGATCTTGCTTCTTCTGGGTCTAAATGATGACTGCAGACTGAGCTATTACTCTTACCAGAATTCTCCTCTTCTAGCTGCCCTACCTATACTTCCTGCCTAGCTACTGTCCAATCAGAATTTTATTAAGCCAATACAAGTGACAAATCTTTACATGGTACAAGACCATTGTCCCACAGTACTTCCCCTTTTTTTCTTTTTAAAACAAGAACACTGAATCTAATCTCCTTTGTTGAGTTTTTTTTTTTTCTGACTATTATCCATAACAACTTGTAACCAACACTCTAAACAAAGACAAGCATCTATAATCCATTTTTTGGGGGGAATGTGGGCATGTTTTTCTAGGGTACTTTCTGTTTATTGGGGGCTCCAATAATCTTATGGGGACCTAAAGAAAATTTAGGATTGTGGTCAAGTCCTGATTAGAGTATTCTATGAAGCTTGATCATCTCAGCCAGCAGTGTTGAGACTCTTCTGGATGTAGAACTCAGAGGAAACTCTAACAGAGGTCCTCTGAAATGTTTGATCATCTGAGCCCTCTGCTCCTATTTGTTCAGGGAGTTTTCCTTGGTCAAGCCTCATTTTCCTTAACCCAGAATGAATCCACAACCTCTCATTTCCTTTGGAAACAAAAGCATCAAAACCTCTTCTTGAAAGTAACATATTTTTTTTTTTTTTTTTTGGTTTTTCGAGACAGGGTTTCTCTGCGGCTTTGGAGCCTGTCCTGGAACTAGCTCTGTAGACCAGGCTGGTCTCAAACTCACAGAGATCTGCCTGCCTCTGCCTCCCGAGTGCTGGGATTAAAGGCGTGCGCCACCAACGCCTGGCAGTAACATATCTTTTGACTTAAATTTTAAAATCAAGGTATTTTTAAAATATATATGTTGGATTAATCCAGCAGCATTTATAATCAAATGTCTTTTAGCAGCTGCTGCTCCTTACTCAGCCATCAAACAATTAAAAGACAACACAATAACATACAGTATCCAGATTCTATGTGTATTTTCCATCTTTATGTGGTTTTATTTTAAACTCTATTTCTTTTACTTTTATTTTTATATTTTTTCTGTGTATCTTTGGCTGTCTTGGAACTCACTCCATAGACCAGACTGTCTTTGAATTTACAGAGATCCACTTTCCTTTGCCTCTCAAGTGCTGGGTTTAAAGGTGTATGCCACCATACCCAACAACTTTCTTTTTTTAAGGATTTTTTAATTTAAATATTCTCTCTAGAGCCTACATATATTTTTAAACACATTGTAAACCATTTTATTTTTAGTCTGAATCTATGATCACTGTATATCTCTTTTTCTGATCACATGAGTCTTTAATTTGCTAAGTGATATGACTAGGATTAAAGCCGTGGCTTTGACTGCTGGATCCATCCCTTTTCTTAGCTTTCTGAGAGTCTAGCTTCATGTCAGAGGTACTGGTGGGAGCCATATTTATTGTCACCACTCTATGAATTTTCAGGGCCACTGCCACCACCAAGAAGCAGGTGTTAGCTATTCATAAACACCATTTAAGTATTTGGTGGTAGGGCCTCTTAAAAGAGCTGCAAAGTTTTTGTAGGTAAAGCTGGGTCAGGAAGCCTCTCTTAAATGAGATGTGCTTGCCTCTAGCAAACAGAGGCCACCTGAGAAAATGCTGCTACCAAGCAACTGTGCTTAACTGTTATTTTGTGTCAAGAATTACTTCCCAAGCTCTCTCAGGTTTTATGTGGATGTAGTTACCCACATTGGTGCCAGTTGTTGACAGAAGTTTCTGTCCTGCCTGTTCCCATGCCATTCAGTCCAAAAGAAATACAGAGGCCTACATCAATTATAAAGTGGTTGGCCTAGTAGCTAAGGATTCTTATTAAGTAACTCTTACATTTTACATTAACCCATAATTCTTGTCTGGGTTAGTCACATGGCTTAGTACCTTTTGTCAGTGAGGCATTTTTATCTTGCTTCCTCTGGGTCTGGGTGACAACTGCAGACTGAGCCTTTCCTCTTCCCAGAATTCTCCTATTCTAGTCACCCCATCTATACTTCCTGCCTGGCTACTGGCCAATCAGCATTTTAATAAACCAATACAAGTGACAAATCCTTACATGGTACAAGACCATTGTCTCATATTGCTTTGGTTGAACACTTTTATCTTATTTATCTTTGTTGTACAGTATGGTTTCCAATTTTGTGTTTTGATAGGTTTTGTGTGTGTTTCTGCTTTTTTTCCTTTTTACCTGTTTGTTTTTTAGAGAGAGAAAAAGCAGGTATGGAGTTGATTGTGTGAGGAGGTAGGGAGGCTCTGGGAAGAGTTGGAGGGGGAAGTTGTGATCAGAATATGAAAAAATTATTTTTAAAAAGATAGAAGTTAAAAGTGAATGATTTCCACATTGCTAAAATCTCTATCCTAAATAACTTAATATTCTGAATAGCAAATTTCCCTGGGTTCTACTTGTTTCTTCTCATGTGAAGTCACTGCCTCATTATGAATTTCCCAGACTCTTTCCTACCTGTTTTGGCGCCTGCTTCTTTGTCCATTCTGAGAAGTTGACCTCAAAAGCAATTGCTTTGATTATTGTTCTGGATGCTATCTTTGCGACTTTTCTGGACTTCATGCTCCATTATCTTTGAGCTAGACCTACTTGTTTGTTCACATAAAGCTCAAACTCTGTCTTCTTCAGGAAGGTCTTCCTTGTCGTTAGAGAATGTGTGAGGTCTTGTGTTTCATGCTCTTTATAATCACCTCAATAAAGTGTTATAGCTGGTGGCCTCTTGCTGTGCTGTGTTGTAACTGAAGTGTACATTGAGCAATGTGGAGACCAGGTACAGAGGGCAAAGTCACTTGTTGAGATTTGGATTATATTTTGTGAGTCTCAGGGATCATAGAAGGAATTTAAAGACATTTCTATTAGCAATATTTATTACATGTTCAGAAAATATACACTATGTCCTTGATGGCATCTGGGTGGTATTACAAAAGTCAGGTGCTCTACATTACTACTGGGATTTTTGAGACATCAATCATGTTTTTTTTTTTTATATAAAATGATCAGTTTCTTTTACATTTGTAGTTTTCCTTCCTATTCTTGCTTTTCTGACTCATTATTGCTGTCAAGTCCTCAACTGTTGCTTACCTATCTCATTATATTTGTGTCCCTTGAGCAACATCAGACTTTTTAATTGACTTGTACTAGGAAAAACAAATGGAAGGATTTCTACTGCAATTTTACACATATTTTGAGTTATTATTAAGTTGATTATCAGTAGCTTGTAAGTGTTGCCATTTTCCTCGTTCTTAATTTTCCATTCCCCTTCTTTACAGCTTGATTTTTCTAGATATTGAAATACCAATTATCAAGAAGAGTAGATCAGAACGAAAGCATTTGAGATTATGTCAAACAGTCAACAAAGGCAGGCAGAAATAGATAATATTTTTATTAAACTGCTAAATAGACAGGAGGTTCAAAAAGAAAAAAAGGATATAGATACAGAATTGAGTGTCAAGTTGTGCTGACTTGACCTCTTGGACATTGATCATTTCATTTTTATGAGGTCTTATTGTAAGAACTTAATCGTAATCAAGCCACACACAGGGCTTGATGACTACATAGCCATTTATATCATAGTTCAGATTTTTCCAATCCAGAATATTAGGAGCAAGGGTGGAACCATGGTACATCAGTTTAATGTCTTGTGGTGTTAGCACAGAGTCCCACATGTTCAAATCTCCAATTTCTCCTACAAAGGACTGGGACTTATCAAACCCTCCTCCATAGGTATCCTGTTCCTGTCCTAGGACAATAATGGGTTGGGCTTTTATAACATACCCCTTCTGCAGACCCCTTTTCACCCAAGGTTTCCCATTGACCCAAAATTCAGCAATGCCAGAAGAGGACTCCCAACTGGTACAGAAATGCACAGGGGAAGCGAGTTCTTCCAGACCACGGACTGTGACTTTTGACTGCCCAATAAACAGTTGGTATTCTCCAACTTCTGTCTTATAAACTAGTAGCTCATTGTCTCTGCCCTTGGTACTGTAGGAGAAAAGACTGCGATGACGGGAAAGGTCACTATAGGCTCGAAAACACAGAGTAAAATTCTCCAGAGGTTTCTCTAGTTGTGGGATCAACTTCACATAGTCGCTGTCAGACTCTCTGGGGAACACAAATACTTTTCCTGTGAGGTCTGTGAGATAAAATAAGACAAATAATTGTTTTCAACAAATTCAGAGAAACAATAGCTCAGAATCAACTTCTCTCCCTGACTGTAGTAAACTCCTTACCTGTCTGAGCAAAGGCTTCTGACAGAAGACTGGTGAGGACGGACACCCCAAGCAGCAGAATCAGCTTATCCATGCTCTCAGCCCAGAACTATGACACTAGCAGCAGTTACTTTCGTAGGAGATAGAAAGTTGGCTGTCCACTACACTCTTAAGACTCCAAGCATTCAGATTTTGTGTGTACCTTTGATGACATTGAGGGGTGGAGAGCAGCAATGCCATGTGACAGACTTCCCAGTTTACCCCTTCTTTCTGTCAATAATCAGAGCTATTGTTTGAAAAGGAATTGCTGATTCCCCGGGCTAGGAAATCAATGAACGTTATTCATTAGACACAGTCTGTGCTAAAGCTCTAACCCTTGGGACCTAGATTTCATTTCTGGGAAGAGGGGAGTTGCAGAGCCACAAGGTCCTACAGATGGAACAAAGGGACAGGTTGGCCACATGAGGAAGGCCTTGCTCCATTTAGCAGCTGGGTCTCCATCTCATGACCCTGTGCTTTGCTAGAAGGGGATAATGGGAATAGGGCAATCGCATACCTATTCAAGTTATGGAAAGTAGCCTTAGGACATTATAGGGTTCTGTGTTCTCTTAACCTTTTGTGTTGGATGTTCTAGGGCTCTATTTTCTGGTAAACTCTAAAAAGTCTATTTGTCTCTTTGCATTTGATTAATTAAATATTGAGGAAGGTACCCAGGCATTACTAAGAGGATAGAGATGGTTGTGAAACACAAACTTTCTGTTTTCCCTGAAGCTTAATAGTTTTCTACTACTGTCACTCAACCTTTCCTTATTTTATGACCCATGCTGCTTTTTTACCCTAAGTTTCCCGTTTCCCATCACAACTAACTGTTCTTGGTCACACACACACACACACACACACACACACACACACACACACACCCGCTGAAATGTCAGTATCTTCCTGTTTTGCACCCTTTCCTTTGAGCCCTTAGACATTAAAGGTGTATTTTTGGAGACCACCTCATCAGTATATCACACTTACATTTGTGCACTTATTCCCAGGCACAGCTCTAAGTGTGCAGATTAGTTGGGGGGCAGGTAACTCCTTTATGGTACCAACGACCTTCATCCTATTTTCTCTGCTACTATTTTAAAAGTGAGTCATTATTAGTCACCACTCAAACCTGCCTCGGCTTCTAAGATATCAAGCTTAATTTTTTTTCCTTCCTGCTTGCTTGATTTTCTTTCTCATCTCTAAAGACTACAGAGTCTTTATTCTCAGTCTTTTCGTCTAGCCTCTTATTATTTCCCCTTTCCCCTCTCAGCTCACCTCAGGTGAATTTGCCTTTTCAATGGCACAATAACTACAATGATAATTCGCTTTCCCCAATTCTTTTCTCATTATTCTTCAAATCTTCATCTGGGCAACAGCTATTATCAACTATTTTTTTTCTAATCTAAGTTTAATATCAAGTTGTGAAGTCTTATCCTACTTGTGTAGTATGGGTGAATACTAGAGTTGGAGTTACACAGCCCATTATCTCCTGGGTTAAATCCTGATCTTTCCACTTGGAAGCCAACACTATCTCCAGCAACACCCTAACCTGCCTATGATCAAACCCTATTCTCCAATCAAGCACCTCTAATTGTTGCTCTTAACTTACAATTAGCTTTTATGATTTTGTTACTTCTATTCATTTTCTTAAAATTCTCCTTTTTCTTTTTCTCTTTATTTAAATCCTTTATGTTTTAAAGATTAATCTCAAAAGTGATCTCCTGTATAAGTCTTCTCTTATTTTAACTTTTTTGATTCATCAAAAAATCTTAGTTATTTTTTTATTACTGTGATAAGAAATGACCATGGCCAAGGAAATTAAGCTGTGGGACAATGGTCTTTTATCCTGTCACTTGTCTTATTTTTAATAAAACGCTGATTGGCCAGTAGCCAGGCAGGAAGTATAGGTGGAGATACCAGGCAGGAAGTAGAGGCAGGGCAATGAGAATTCTGGGAAGAGGGAAGTTTCAGTCTGCAATTGTAACCCAGACATAGAGCAAGAAAGATGTGACTGTCTTGTGGAAAAAGGTACCAAGCCACATAGCTAACACAGACAAAAATTATGGGCTAATATAAGTTATAAGAGTTAATAAGAAGCCTAAGATACTAGGCCAATCAGTTTATAATTAATGTAGGCATCTGCATGATTTTTTGGGGACTAAACGACTATGGGAACTGGGCAGGACAGAAACCTTAGTCAACATCAACTAATAAAAGACTTTAAGTAGGGTGTATAGTTACAGAGGGTTAGAGTCCATGACCATCATGGTGGGGGATGGCATCATGTAGGCAGGCATGACTTGCCCTGCAACAGTAGCTGGCAGCCGATATACTGAGGCACAGCCATAAGACAGAGAGATAATGGAAGGCTGGGAACAGTATGAGTTTTTTGAGACCTCAAAGCCCACCTCCAGGGACAAACCTCCTCTATCAAGGCCATGCTTCCTAATCCTTCTCAAACAGTTCTACCAACTGGGGACCAAGTATTCAGATACACAAACCTATTGGGGCCATTTTGATTTAAGCCACCACAATAAGGTTAAGATCAAAGACTTTGTGTGTAGATATGTGGGTGTCAGAAGTCATGATTGCATGGCTTTCTCTTTGGCGTCTGCCTTATTTTTTGATACAAACTCACTTTGTGGATCTAGAGCTTCCTCATTTGGCCTAGTTGGCTGAGCAGAAAACCCTTTTCATATCATACATCCAGCTCTGATCATCACTGAACTGTGATGCCATGCCTAACTTTTATGTGAGTGCTGGGGACATGAACTCAGGTTCTTATGCTTAAGCAGTAGTCAATGTATCTACTGAACCATTGCCACAGTTCCAGCTTAAGATTTTCTTGACATAGAGTTTTGTAGCAACATATGGTATAATATAATTGAATAAAATGTCTAGGTAATTCTATAAATAAAAGCTGAAGGTCAACTTTACTATGAACCCAGGGAATATGTAATTCCAGGTTGAGGTATTAATTAGTGAATACCATAAAATACAAAGAATAGGCTAACCAGTTGCTTATAGTCTTCATAATAAATTAGTGAATTACCATTCTGTTATAAAAAAAGGGTTCAGATATCAGTGTAGAATGGAATATTTTTTAACTTTGATGAAGCTATGGAACCAGCCTGGGAAATATATAAGGCAGCCCAAAAGAGCTTGGTGGAATAGAGATTTATACTTCTGTTGGGGACTAGTGACAAGGGTATTGTTGCATATGGAAATATTATAAAGAGGAAATCTTGGTTGAAAAGTAGGTTTGGTTGCTATTGGAATGAGACGAAGATTGAAAAAGTGGGTACTGGGTTTTTTTTTTTTTTTTAAGTGCCCCTACCATGGAATGTTCCTCAGGCTTTCTGATAGCCCATGATTTAGCAAGCATGAAGATGGAAACCAAGAATTGTTTTTTTTTTTTTTTCGGGACAGGGTTTCTCTGTGGCTTTGGAGCCTGTCCTGGAACTAGCTCTGTAGACCAGGCTGGTCTCGAACTCACAGAGATCTGCCTGCCTCTGCCTCCCGAGTGCTGGGATTAAAGGCGTGTGCCACCATCGCCCGGCCCCAAGAATTGTTTTTAACAGAGAAATGGAGACTCTTGATATCAAGGTGTAGGAAAATGAATTCCGAGTCTTCAGAACTGAGTGTAGTTCTCACTGAGAGCCATCCTTTGTATGTCTTCTTGCCAGTGAACATTCAGGTATAGGCTGTGGTTTCCATCTGGTTGCCTCCCATGAAGAAGTAAAGACAACAGTGTATTTAGAAGAAACAGGGTGATGTGTGTGGTCACAGTAGAGGTCAGCATAAAATAGAGGTTACCTTCAGAGAAGACAAAGAAGACATTGCCAGAACCAAAAGAATGGATGCAACAAGGCAGATATGTAAGAAGTAATAAAGGGTTACATGACTGAAACATGAAGGATTCTATCATACCTTAGGATTCTAAAGTCTTGGGTATTTGTGGTGTATTACAATCATGATAACTCTCAGGAAAAACTAGAGAGGGAGAGATTGAAGTGGACGAGGGGCAGCACTAAAATTTTTTACTCCTACGAATTATTTCCCATGGGTTCTGTTAATTTCAAGAATATTTAAAGAACATTTAGATGGAAAAATGCAATGGATAATTAAAAGTAAGTAATTACCACCCTGTTATGTTATTGTATAAAATCAAATATATATAATCGTACTTACTGAAAAGGAATGATGGGGAAAATATCAGAATAAAAGTCTTATGATATTAACTCAAACTATACTTTATTCTAAACTTTTTATTGCTTGCTATCATTTTCTGTATCTATAGTGAATGTCACAGATTAGCTAATTTATAATGAGTAGAGGTTTATAACATATTTATAGACTCTGGGCAGTCTCAGAACATGGTCCTAGCCTCTGGAAAGAGCATTCTTGTTGCATTATGATATGGGAAGAGGTACCAGTGGTAAAACAGAGTGAGCATGCGAGAGAAGGCTTGCTTTTAATAGTAAAGTTACCCAAAGATAAACCAGGAATCTATAGCTTACAAATAACTACTCTTTTCCCAAAGGCCCCATTGACATATGTTTTGGGAGAAATAAGTTGCAACTTTGGAGGATATATCCAAAGTGTAATGCAAGTCATTTGGAATGATAAGATGCAATTGCTGTGGATCAGATTGTAGAGAGTCCACTGGGAGGAGATAGAGGAAATACATTGGGTCCAAAATGATGACCTTGAAATGATTGTGTGATCTAACCGAAAAGGCAGTGGGGAATTTGAGATTTATGACTGCCTCTTAGGTTTAGGAATATACTTCAAAGGAAATATTCTATGAGTAGTGATGAAACAAGGGATTGTCTCCTTCAGTGGAATAGAGAAGAGAGAAAAGGTCAGGGGACCAAGCAACGATTTGAAAGAACATTTACATTCATGTATTTGAAGGCAAGAGAAGAGTTGCGGTCTGGAAGAACAAGTGTGTGTGTGGTGTCATGGAAACTAAGCTAGTGCTACTTTCCAGAATGCAGTGTCCAGGAGTATTAGCTGCAGCAGAGAGAGCTAAGTGGAAAGGATGCTGGATTTAGCAATAAAAATTTCATCAGTGACCTTTGCAAGAGCAATTTTCATAAAGTGAGCATGGCAGAATTCAGTTTCAATGGGATGATAGTTGAAAGAGAGGGAGAAATGTTT